TTGATACTTCATCCGCATAACATACCACTTCACTATTAGGAACTTGATATTTGACATTAACTTCATCTAGAAACTTAATATATTTGCATATTCTCTCTCTATCTCTTTCTGTATATTTATCAATTATTTTATATATTTATCTATATATTTATCATTATATAATCTTATTTATATTCATATTTAGCATATAAAGCATTTTCTTCCGTAGAAGAGCGTACTTGCCCGAAAACTCGAGATATATTTTTAAATAAAAAATATTTTTAAAAGAAACTTTTCCCTGGAGGCTTTATGTTTTTATTTCAATAATTTATATTTATTCTGTATTTAACCTTATATAATCTTATATGGACTTTGAAATAAAGTAGTTTCAATCTCTATCTCTTTTCAATAGCTCATCCTTTCTCAAAGGTTGTTTTAGTTACAAAATTTTATTCAATATATTAATACAGTAGAACTTGGATAATTCGAACTTCTTTAATTCGAAAACCTCTTTAATTCGAATATTTATCTTGGTCCCTAGAATTTCCTATATAAATAATTTAACATCTTTAATTCGAATTTTTGGATAATTCGAATTTTTTTATGGTCCCTTGGGGTTCGATTTATCCAAGTTCGACTGTATATTCATGATTATCTTTCTAACCTGGAAGGAGAATCAGGTTTCTAATATATCTTATTGTTTTTTTTTTATTAATTTAATTTTTTGTATAATTTTAGTATAATTTTATAGATTATATATAGTAATAGTTTATTATATTTATAATAATAGTATAAGTTTTTATATAATTATATTTCTTCGCCACAATATGTTTATAACTGCTTCTGTTTTAAAATGTAAATCGACGCAATTATCCCTAGACGGGATATCGCGTTTTGTGTGTTGAAATAAATGAAAAGAAAAGCTATTCTATATTTTCAAAAAAAGGTTTTTCATATATAGAAGTCTATAGAAACATAGGGCGCCTCTCCCGTCAAAATAACGTCAAAACCTGACGCCATCTTGTTTTGACGTTTATTCTGACGGGAGAGACGCCCTATGCTTCTATGGATTAATTTCCTCCTGGCAAATTTTCCATCTATATAGAAGTCTATAAATTTGGGAAAAAAGAACGCATCTTCAAAGATCATTGTCTAATAGATTTATTATAAAGCAAACACTATAACATCGCTAAACTTCAAATGAAAACATAATTAAGATTAAAACTGCTGATTCTGGAGAGCATTATTCATTTTCTTTAGATTTTTATTAACCTAAACCCAAAAGAATAAAGAAAAAACATTGAAAAAGCAACAACAACAACAATAGCCTTTATTGGGCACACGTGCCATACAGGATTCTCCCTGTAGGACAAAATAAATAAATAACAAATTAGCATCGTAGTTATATACAAATGTTGGGTATTGACCTCGACCAATTATCGAGTTGGATCCGGTGTCTGTGCTAAATATTTTGATTGAGCTGATTTCCAGTATTTATAAAAAGCGAATGCAAAGGGTCTGGATTTTACGACTTTTGCCATTAAAACATAAGGCGAATTGCTATTATAGCCGGTCTCTTGACGAAGAATTTCTCTTTCTTCTTCCATTGCCGTACAGTAGAACATGTAGGGTGGAAAATCGAGACTAAAAAAACATTGAAAAAGATAACAATAAGTCACCGAAACGTTGAAAATAATAAAAAATATTGTAACGTAGAAATCAAGTCTTGGAATATCTGAAGATGTGAAAGTATTTATTGATGACGTCACCAGTCGACAACCCAACTATCTACAGCTAGAGAATATCGAGGCAAGTAAGCTAGACAACATAAATGATGATTTTACAAATATAAAGTAATAAAAAATCTGTTTTTTCAAATATTTTCTTTGAATAATTAAATTAAATAATAATATTAAAAATAAAAAAGGCATATCCTGACCAGGATCACATGTGCTTTTCAGAAGGCAGAGCGCCATCTAGTGTAACAGAAATCAACTAAACATTGATTTAGCCTGTTCCCTGATATTATGCTAACCCAATAATAAAATATAAATTATTGCTTCGCCAAAATATGTTTAGAATGGATTTTTAATCATATATACCAAAGTGTATTGTTATACCTAACTCTTTTATCTAACAAACCATACTTAAGAACAAAAATTTAGACTAAAGATTTAAGCTACTAATGCTATAAACAAGAAACCTCAACTTTTTACATTTACATTCCAATTTTATAGTCACTCAATTTGTCACATCACACGGAAAGTTCCAGAAATACTTATATAAAAAGAGGTCTATCAGAAACACCAATTGTTCCTGCGGAGAAACTGAACAAACTGCTCTTCACCTTATCTATGACTGTCCGAACTTTACAGAAGTGAGACATCGAATGTTCCCTGATCTAAATGATTTAACTCTCTTACATCAACCACTTTGTTTATATAAATTTTATGAACTCTGTATATTAATACATGTAAATTTGTAAATATTTAAACCTAAGTCTTAATTTGTTTGCTGTTTTTGTTTGTTTCCTCTGTAAAAAGCGCAAATACTTCAATATCGCGTCTTGTTGAATAATAATTTTTAAAAAACTCTTATGGATTACCCGAAATTAGTTACGCGTTCATTGAATTGATATATCATATGAAAACGATTTATAATAAGAAGAAAAAAGTTAATTTTTCACTTTGAATATAATAGCTCGAAACTATCTCTATTGTTATTATCCTAAATAAAAGTGTTTAAAAATATTGAAACATCTGGTTAGAGAATACCATTCTTAGAGAAAGCTAAAAATCTTCAAAAAAATGAAAGAGAAAAACGTTAAGACATGGATTAAGGATTTTTCCCATGGTGTGTGTCTCCCTAGACTAGCCAGTATGCTCATTAGGGTGTTGCATACCTTTAGATCTTCATTCTACGATGTTCTAAGGGATAAGGCGTTTAATTTCCTGGGTCACATCGGGTTATCACGTGACGTCAGCACGATCTTATGGCTGTTTTTTTTTGCTGTTCGTCTGATAATCTGTCTTGTTTAGATTTGATGGCTAATTTGGAGGAATGGGGGGCGTAACCTAATCCCTCATTCCAATCCCCAAAAAAACTTGTTAATACATTTTTGGGTTGGATTGTGGTAACCAAGTTATCTTTTTTTGAAATGATTAATGTTTTATGGGATGTTTTTTAAAGGTTATGTTGATAATGAAGGAAATAATAAATTGGTTGCCAATTATTTTTTTTGTGTTTGGTTATTGTTAATTTTTCGTTTTATCTGCGTATTCGAAATACTCTCGGTTTTTTTTACTTTCCTGTTAAGGGAGAAAGTTTTATGAATTTGCATTT